AAAACAGTGTGTGTGTGTGTGTGTGTGTTGTGTGTGTGTGTGTGTGTGTTGTGTGTGGTGTGTGTGTGGAGGTCTATTAAAAAGCAGGTCTCTTTCAGTGTTTAATGTATAGATGTATTTAAAATAGTTTGAAACCTTCGTGGTCAAGTTATGGTGACGGCAGCGAGGAAGAAGTGGCACACACAAGCTGTTCACATCTTTGTTTTGTGATTGGCTTCCTGTCTCGTGGTCTCTGTTTCTAGATAAAGAAAGCGACACGTCTTTTATTCTTTCATTACAACCGCACTGCATTTCTTGTTTCATGGGTTTATCGCAGAGCATTCAGCTCGGCTGCCTTTAACCACACACGATGAATACAAAGATAACAAAACTGTGGGGGAAATAAATCATAGACGTTTTAAATACTCCTTTAAACCCACATAATACTTTGTTTCATTTATCACAGGGTTTCCAAATATCACCAATCAATCTTTATTTGTAATGCGACCCATCTAACCGAGACCAAGACATACCCGAGACCAGACCAAGACATTTAGGGATCAAGACTGACACAAGACCAACACCAAACATATCACTAAAACAAAGTGATGGAATATTCGATCAGGACTCTGCATATTTTGTTTTGTTTTGAAATTGACCAGACGCTCTTGTCTGACTTCCTGTCCTGGTCATTCGATTCTGTCCAGCTTGGAGACGGACCACCGGCGCTCGCTGTGGAAACATGAGCTTTGACTACAGCGGTGCAGCACTGCTGGATTGTTGGTGCACGGACTATGTGGAAGTTGGCAGTAAATGTTATATACAGCTTTATACATTCTTGCAAATATATGCTATAAGTAGGGGGGGTTAGGGGGGCAATAAAACTTCCTCTTTGGGCCCACTTTGGCCAGGGGCGGCCCTGCTCGTAGCCGTGCTTACTGCTATCACAAAATGCATTCTTTACTTTCATATAGTCGCTCATGTACAGCACCTGCTTCAAGCCAAACATTTAAACAAACAAAAGAAAAAGAAAAAACCATCATTAACCTTCGGCTTTCAGGATAACATCAGCGATCACACACTGAGCTACATAAAGGCTAACGACCCGTCTAAAAAGCTAATCGAACCCCGGCGCCTTGACAGCGTAGATTCTCTCTCTGTCTTGTTTCACGTCCCTTCTTCCACCATTGCCAGTTTTCACCACGGTAAAGAGGACAGTCGAATAAATCCAGGTGTCTTCATCGTCTCTCTGCGGAAACATTTCATGAATTATGAAGGATTTACAAATATGAATCTCATTTGCTCTTTTTTTAAAAAGGTTCATCTCACCTTTAACTTCCTGTTTGTAACATTTTCCTGCAGAGCAGCAGCAGCAGCTACAACATGATAGAAAACAAAGGATTTAAAATAAAGGTCAGGATGCAATGAGTTAATAATCACAGATAGGTTCTAACACTAAAGATAGAACTGCGCTACAGTGACCTAACTCCTCGATGATTACCTGCATCGTTGCAGTTATCACATCTGTGTTTCTTGATGCCGTAGATGAGGAGGGCCATGACGGTCACACTGATGACCAGGACAGCAGACAGCAGACACAGAATGATGGCTTCTTTCATTAACTCAAAGGACCACAAACTGCTGCCTGAAACATTCAAGGAAACACACAATGACAATTAGTCAAAGTTAGAGAAACTATAAATTCAATGAAAGAGGATTTTTTTTAGCTCACATTTGATCTGTGTGGGTTGACAGAGATTAGCCTACAAACTTTTGCTATTAGGTGAAATGTCTCTCAAACTCACTCGCAAAACATTTCTACCTGACGGGGATGGCAGTCTTACGGACATAGACATGAGGGTTTAGGTTTTCAACAGTCTCAAGGGCCTTCCAGATGAGATGCAGTGTGGAGTAGGAGGAGGGAGCGCACACAAGCCAAAAGCAACAGCGTACGTTACGAGGTAAACAAACAATAGTTTGGAAAATATCTACTCTTTGGACGCACATTATGTTTTTATGTGTACATTCTTAAGTAAAAAGTTCTGACCTTTCTCCTGCTGAGGAGGAGGAGACGAGCAGCGAAAAGAAGAGGGCGTGGCTTCATGAAATCATCAGGGCACGACAGGATGCTTCACGAATATGACACACATTTCTACAATTCTACTACAATTCTACAATTCACTTAGCAGACGCTTTTATCCAAAGCGACGTACATCAGAGAGTAAGAACAACACAAGGAAGGATCTATAAAAAAGGGAACAATGTGAGTAAGAGCAAACGATCAGCTTTGAGTCTGATTGGACACACAGGTGCTGACAGGAAGTGACCAGAGGCAAAGCACAACATTGAGGGCAGTTCTTGAGAGCTCTAATCAGTATAGAAACCATCTTATAAGTCGTCTTTATCAAACAAAAACCATCGTCATTACCATCATCATCATCAATAATATGGAGACCATCATCATTAAGTTAGTAGGTATTCATGAAAGAGCTGGGTCTTTAGCTTTTCTTAAAGGTGCAGAGGGACTCTGCAGATCACATGGAGTTTGGAAGTTCGTTCCACCACCGGGGGCGACAGAGGAGAAGAGTCTAGTCAGCATTTCTGCTGCTGTTTTAAAACATCGCTGATCTGAATGTTTGAGGCCTGAGTGTCGTCCCCCGTCTGTTCCTGCAGGGGGCGCTGGAGTCCCATCGATGGCGGTCTCCATGCTGGAAATGCTGTCTCAGTCTAACTTTCAGTCAACCTAACGACAGGCTGAGAGCTGAGGCGGGTTTTAAACCTCCTGACAAACCGTTACACCGCGCCCACCTGTCAATCAGGTCAGCTACACGCCTTATTGTGAATAACTCTTATCCTTCATCAAATCAAAACTGATGAGTCATCAAAACATTCACCCCCCCGTACAGTGTGTGTCCATCCAGACATGAGCTAATCACACCTATTTGGTTTTTTGAACCAGGCTGTAAACATGTTCATCTCTGCTGTAAAAACAGGCTTTTTAGAATGGGTGTGTATGTGACTTCCTGTGCTTCTGCAGCCAGCCTCTAGTGGACACTCTGTCAATTTTGCAGAATAAGATGATTCAAACCTTAAAAGCATTTGAGTCGGCTATAAGAGTAGAATAGTTGACTAACAGAATAATAATATTTTTACCCTCACCTTCCAGTTTGGTTCTGTTGTCAGATAAAACCTCTCCACATGTAGCCATGGCGCAGTAAAACGTGCCATCGTCTGCGGAGCGGGCGTTCTTAGAGAAGTGGTAGATACAGGTCTTTGGAGTCGGATGCTCTTCAGATTTATTGTCACATTTATCACCTCTGTTTCCATCAGTGTACATGATGTTAGCATGTGATTCATCTGATCGCACTCCAATCAGGTGCACGCTGTGCTCACTTGGACAGGTCGTTTTCTGGGAGTCGGAGAGGACTGAACATCGCAGAGTTATCGAGTCTGCTGCACGGACAGAGTGAGAAACTGTCGGCCACTGAGCCACAGTGATGGCTGTTATCCTCTCAGCGTTTCCTACAAACACAGAAGATTGTAAAGTGTCAAAGATTGTCCAGATCGTTAAGTTTGAGAAGCAGAGTTGGAACATAAAAATGACAAAAGGAGGTCATAACAATGTTGAAATTGTAAGCGGACAAAGTGTCCTGCTTCTAAAATCAGATCCAATCCAAGTGATTTTATGAAGTACATTTAGAATTAACAACAGGTGACAGAAGAGCTGCACACTCAAACGTAATCAAAACGTGTAAAACGCAGATGTAAAATCAGCAGGACATGAAAAGTTTAAAGGGTTAATAGAAAATAAGAAGGGATAAAAGCAAACGCTCGAGCAGATCAGGGGGAGCCAGACCGTTAAAGATTCATGAGTCAGTATTCAAATCTTAAAATCAGCCGGTGAAGTTAAACTGAAAATGAGTTGGGGGGCCGGTAGCCTAGTGGCACCCCATGTACGAAGGCTATAGTCCTCCAAGCATGCTGCCTGGGTTCGAATGTCATTCCCCACTCTCTCTCTCTCTCTCTCTCTCTCTGTCTCTCTTCTCTGTCTCTCTCTCTCTGTCTCTCTCTCTCTGTCTCTCTCTCTCTCTCTCTCTCTGTCTGTCTCTCTCTCTGTCTCTCTCTGTCTCTCTCTCTCTCTCTCTCTCTCTGTCTCTCTCTCTCTCTCTCTCTCTCTCTCTCTCTCTCTCTCTCTCTCTCTCTCTCTCTCTCTCTCTCTCTCTCTCTCTCTCTCTCTCTGCTCTTTCTCTCTCTCTCTCTGTCTCTCTCTCTCTCTCTCTCTCTCTCTCTCTCTCTCTCTCTCTCTCTCTCTCTCTCTCTCTCTCTCTCCTCTCTCTCTCTCTCTCTCTCTCCACCAATTCTGACTCCATCCACTGTCCTGTCTCCAAAATAAATTTATAATAAAAAGTCTAAAATAAACCTTACTAAGAAAAAAAAGAACAATACATTGAGTATCAAAGAAACAGACATGCTTTACCTTTTATAGACAAATACGTCCCACTCCAATGATCCTTGTTCCAGGTAGAGATGGCACAGTGGTACACCGCCTCGTCCTCCGGCACCGTCTTCAGAATGGTCAGAGAGCACATGGTCGCAGTGAAGTTCACCTCAAATCGGTACGAAGGAAACGATTTTTCAAAATTGGAATTTGCAGCCCCTTTCATCAGAGAAGTGATCAGCACAAGCGTGTCACCGACGCTCTGCTTGTACCACTTCACTCGAGTGTTGCTGTACTCAAAATCAGGCATCGGACACGTCAAAGTGCCGGGTTCCCCGAGTCCAAACGATGTCACTGAGATCAGAGCATCTGGATGAAAAGACAAAGAGAAGCGATCGTTACAACAGGACTTCAGGTACATGTCATACACACGCTCAAGAGAAAGGTGGCAACAATTTTATACCTTTAAGAAATGATTCATATATGTTTTTACACTCACATCCTGGATGAAGAAGAAGAAGAAGAAGAAGAAGGAGAGGTAGAATCGCTGAAAAGCTCATCGTGATGTTTTCGTTGATTTCGATTGCTGAAGAGTGATGAGAGGATTTAAGGGGATGCTGGGCGTCTTAAGGTTCACTTCCTGTCTCGCTGTTCTGCAGAAATCTCACCGCAGAGGTTTTTGTGGTCAGTTGGAATAGAAGAGGGTCTTTTTTCTCTTGTTTGCATCCTCAGTAATCTGATTTTTTACACTAAAGTATCTCAATAAAATAATTTGTACGTTGAGTACTTACATCACCTGTAATATTTCCAACAGTCATCAAAGGAAGAGAAATCTTTTAATTTTAGAGCTGTAATAGGACGTGTGTTGCCATCACCGCTGCCATGACAGACATGACATGTTAACCGTTGCCGTGGAAACAGACCGCTGCATAATGAAGCGTGAGCTGCTACTGAAAGCTGTCGTACTGTCGCTGTTGGAGCTGCTGTGATAAAAACCTCATGTAGATTATACTCGGATACATCAGCTCGTCTGTAACCATGTTCTCTTCATCAGGTCGGTTTCACCTGGTCGTCATGACTACGGTCAACTCAGAGGTTGTTTTCATTGGAACAAATAGTTGTTCACCTGCAACTGTAGTGGAGACACAACTTGTAAAGTGATGGACCAGGCAGTGTTAAACCACGGTGTGTTGAAAGGAAGACGCTGCTCTTTAACCACTTCCACTAAGGAAATGGCCGTACGTATAAAGTAGGACGCGCACACACGAGAAACACACCTCTGTGTTTAGCAGCATTTTCCGAGAAATGAGGAGAAAACCAAAACTCGTGCTCGCATGGTCTATTGTTACCGTGGTTACCGGAAATGCCAAATGGAGGATTTTTGCAGAGGAGTTTGTAGTTCTTAAGAGGTTGTTGACACATTTCTGTGGAGAGGAGCTCAAAGAGTCTCCCGACATCCATCAGAACTGTTCTGACGAGCGTAAGGGTGGCTTCACACTCGGGCCCCCGACCCGGATCCGAGAACACTTGACCCCGACATCTGGTTAATTTGATCAGCGTGAACACAAACGTACCGAACTCCGGTACTGTGCCCGAGTCCAGTTGAAGAGGTGGTCTCGGTCACGATTCATGTGTACTCGCGTACGGTCTGCAGGGAGCTGAGAACATGATGTGGATTCCCTTGTTGTTGATATGTTTGATGATGAAGAAATTCGCTGTTGACACTGACTTGCTTACATAATGATCATTTTATTGACAAACAAGTTACAGCATCGCCAGGCTCGCCATGGTTCGACCTGGGAGAGACACAGCCAAAAGTGATCTCCCCTGAACACACAGAAACTCTGGTACTTATGGACACACCCCACAGGAGAACAACATGGGGACATCTGTTTGTTTTCAGGACAACCCCTCTTCCTACAACTGTGGGGGTTTCTGTCTTAGATATATGTATGTCATAAACTCAAAGGACAACACAGGTCACAGATACAATCTCTTGTCCAGATGTCCCTGGGCAACTCTCTGGACACAGGGACCCCATTGTACACATTCCACTGAGAGGGCTCCTGTCTTAGATTTAGGATTTCCGGGTAACTCAAAGAACATTAGCGGTCTCAAATATAATTACTACAAACTGTCGTTTTGCACATTCTTAATAAGAAACAGCGCTGACCTAATTTCCAGATATGTCAGACACTTCAAACACAAGCGTGCTCAAACTAGGAAGTGGACCGCTTTATGACGTCATTCTAAATGACTCCTGTTGCTTTGAAAAAAGGTCGTATCCGTGCAGCACGGGCCCGTTTCATCCTCTGAGCTGCACGGTAGATGTTGAAGCAGGAAGAGGGTCATTTCTGAGGCGTCTCAGAAATAACAAAAACAGCCACAGTTAGCAGGATGGACTCAGCCCGTGAGTGGTTGCCATGGTTACTTCTTCTTTATTTTCTTTATTTTGATTTATTTTATTGCACTTAAAACACAAAACAAAAAATAAACATAATAGATCAATGAAAGAACAGACAGTACATAATGATTAGTTAATTAACAAAATATACATTTTGAAAGAAATGTGCTGGAGAAGCCAAATAAACCCAGAGGGGCTACACTATCGACACTAATGTGGTTTATGTTTGTGAGTATGCTAGTGTTTGAAGATGCTCGATAAGCAAAGAGATTTCTAACAAGAGTTCAAAAGATTTCCCCCCTTATTCGGAGAAAATGTAAAACAGCAAAGCATGCCCACATGGCTAGTTATTTATACCTTATGTTTAAAGAGCACATATTATCCTCCTTTTCCACCTTTTCAAAGAGTCTAAATGAAACATCTGTGCTGTGCTTTGGTCAAAATATAACATGAATCAAGCACCAGAGGAGGTTTGTGACCCTGTAGAAACCAGCTCTCTCAGAACGCTCCATTTTGGTGTGTGTGTCTCTTTAAATGTAATGACCCCCCCCCGGAGTTTTCCCCGTAGACATCACTCCTCTGTAGCGAGAGTAAAAATGGCGGATCTACTCAAAGGTTTTTCTCTGGGGGTGGAGTCTATGGGTGGAGATATCAGGGGAGGGGAGGAGAGGGGATTTTATTTAACCAGAATCCCACTGTGACATCACAAGGAGAGCACATTATAAACGGAGCATTTTTCTCTGTGTTGTAAGACTTATGCAGACCACAAACAAAGGACTGGATGGATTTATTTCACAGCTTTTGGATCTGTAGTCACTCAGGTTACCAAAATAAATGTTCATAAACACTGTAGAAGAGGATTTTTCATCATACGTCCCCTTTAACACGACTTCTGTTGTTGTAGGAGTGAAAGCAGGAGCTTTCAGAGAGCTGGACAAACAGAGAGACCACACAACATGTTTACAGCCTGGTTAAAAAAAGTTGGAAGTTCTGGGTAACTTTGTGCAGCTCTACCAAATGTGACTTAACTAAGTTCAGTTCACTGAGTAAACATCACAACAACACAAAAGGTCAAATCGTCTAAGAAGAGGGGGAATACATTTCACTGAAGCAACAATAAATAAAATGTGTGTTTCTGTTGCTTTAAATTAGGGCGGACCTTGTTTTTTGCTAACGTCCGTGTACCCTCCCCATGTGACAGGACCCCACAAAGCGTTCCCCTTTAACCCCTCTTATAGGTGACCTCGGCTCCGTTTGTTTAATAATTGCTTACATTTAAAAACGTAAATGTAAAGGAGTCACGTCCTGACATCAGCAGCAGCAGCTCTACACCTCGCCTAACCTCGCATCACTTTTAAAGCCCACAACGGTTTCTCCTGCAGGCTAGACGTCTGACCTATGAACTCCCCATGTACTGTCACGGGCCGGGAGCGCCCCATGAGAAGACCTCACATTGGGCCCCCTCCACCACCACCGCCCAAACTAAGCCCGGAGAATTTCTACAACCACGCCTCCATCACACAAATGATCCATAAAAAAAGGGGAGTCATTGCATTTAAAGAGACACACACACCAAAACGGAGCGTTCTGAGAGAGCTGGTTTCTACAGGGTCACAAACCTCCTCTGGTGCTTGATTCATGTTATATTTTGACCAAAGCACAGCACAGATGTTTCATTTAGACCACAGGGGACTGTTTGAAAAGGTGGAGGAGGGGACTGTTTGAAAAGGTGGAGGAGGGGACTGTTTGAAAAGGTGGAGGAGGACTGTTTGAAAAGGTGGAGGAGGGGCTGTTTGAAAGGTGGAGGAGGGGACTGTTTGAAAAGGTGGAGGAGGACTGTTTGAAAAGGTGGAGGAGGGGACTGTTTGAAAAGGTGGAGGAGGTGGACTGTTTGAAAAGGTGGAGGAGGGGACTGGTTTGAAAGGTGGAGGAGGACTGTTTGAAAAGGTGGAGGAGGACTGTTTGAAAAGGTGAGGAGGGGACTGTTTGAAAAGGTGGAGGAGGGACTGTTTGAAAAGGTGGAGGAGGACTGTTTGAAAAGGTGGAGGAGGACTGTTTGAAAAGATGGAGGAGGGGCTGTTTGAAAAGGTGGAGGAGGGGACTGTTTGAAAAGGTGGAGGAGGGGACTGTTTGAAAAGGTGGAGGAGGGGACTGTTTGAAAAGGTGGAGGAGGACTGTTTGAAAAGGTGGAGAACTGTTTGAAAAGGTGGAGGAGTGTTTGAAAAGATGGAGGAGGACTGTTTGAAAAGGTGGAGGAGACTGTTTGAAAAGGTGGAGGAGGGGACTGTTTGAAAAGGTGGAGGAGGACTGTTTGAAAGGTGGAGGAGGGGACTGTTTGAAAAGGTGGAGGAGGAGGACTGTTTGAAAAGGTGGAGGAGGACTGTTTGAAAAGGTGGAGGAGGTTTTGAAAAGGTGGAGGAGGGGACTGTTTGAAAAGGTGGAGGAGGGGGCTGTTTGAAAAGGTGGAGGAGGGGACTGTTTGAAAAGGTGGAGGAGGAGGACTGTTTGAAAAGGTGGAGGAGGGGACTGTTTGAAAAGGTGGAGGAGGGGACTGTTTGAAAAGGTGGAGGAGGACTGTTTGAAAAGGTGGAGGAGGGGACTGTTTGAAAAGGTGGAGGAGGAGGACTGTTTGAAAAGGTGGAGGAGGGGTGTTTGAAAAGGTGGAGGAGGAGACTGTTTGAAAAGGTGGAGGAGGGGACTGTTTGAAAAGGTGGAGGAGGGGACTGTTTGAAAAGGTGGAGGAGGACTGTTTGAAAGGTGGAGGAGGGGTGTTTGAAAAGGTGGAGGAGGACTGTTTGAAAGGTGGAGGAGGGGGGTGTTTGAAAAGGTGGAGGAGGGGACTGTTTGAAAAGGTGGAGGAGGGGTGTTTGAAAAGGTGGAGGAGGAGACTGTTTGAAAAGGTGGAGGAGGACTGTTTGAAAAGGTGGAGGAGGGCTGTTTGAAAAGGTGGAGGAGGGACTGTTTGAAAAGGTGGACTGTTTGAAAAGGTGGAGGAGGGGTGTTTGAAAAGGTGGAGGAGGGGACTGTTTGAAAAGGTGGAGGAGGGACTGTTTGAAAAGGTGGAGGAGGGGACTGTTTGAAAAGGTGGAGGAGGAGACTGTTTGAAAAGGTGGAGGAGGGGGCTGTTTGAAAAGGTGGAGGAGGACTGTTTGAAAAGGTGGAGGAGGGGACTGTTTGAAAAGGTGGAGGAGGACTGTTTGAAAAGGTGGAGGAGGGGGGTGTTTGAAAAGGT